TCCTTGACAGCCACGTTGTAAGTGATATGGGACAGCCTTACACACACTCCTGATTTTGAAGCTAATTTAGATAACTATGTGTTCCTCACACATATAACTTCTCAAGCATATAGAAGTCTGTTATCGCTCTTTTATGTGGGGAACATTACTTTTATGTGTCTGTGGGCTGGACAAAAACAAAGTAAACAAGGGCGCGCGGCGGAACTATGACGATTACGCACGCAAACCGTCAGAAAGTGTCCAATTAAGTAGCTGCCATGTCGAGTAGAACGTGAAATACTCTTGCGTTTTACTTAACAAAAAAGAATTTTGGAGGACGCTTAAGCTTCGCCTTTAAAAGCGGAACGCCATAGCCTTAACAGGTCTTGTTTACATCGCACTCTCATTTGCCACGAAAGCGTGACTCGCGTGGCCTAGTCAAAAGCGTCTGACTCGCAACCGAAGGGTCGTGGGTTCATATCCCACCTAAAATTCTTAATTTTTTTCTTTAAGGCAAAGGAATTACTTTAATAAGTAAAATCACTCGAGACATACGGCGAACTTTAATTCGCATTACATGTCATGTTTTAATCACTCTCATTACACGCGTGATGTTACGTTTCACATGAGCATTGTGGGTTGTTTGAAATTCTTGCGTGAGAGCTCTGACGTCATCACCCTATCGACCAACCAAGATTTTCTAGTCACGCCACCGACATTTGGTTTTCTGCGACATGAGCTCCTTAACGCTACCGCGTTAAAGTCATCAATTAGTTAGGGTGATGCCCATTCGCAAATTAAATTGAACGGCATCTTGTCAAGAACAAACCTCAACAGCCAGGCTATGCCAGCTTCTCCTGTATAAGAAAATGTTCATTTGGACAAGCGCTATTTTGGGCCAGATTCGATCGGAGTGCGAAGGTGCGTATAGATTAGGGTGAACAATTGCGATTACTCCTTGCTGCATGATTAGTCGCATGCATACGGTACTGAGTGTAAACAATGTTTGGTTAGAACAACATTCAGTTTGATTGCGGCTCGGTGTTCCTATAAAAAATTGTCCAAAAGGAATTATTTTAAAACTGTTGTGACATTTTTAAAATTTCATTGCTTTTAGCTAAGTTGTGTCGTCATCTTATACATATATTGTGAAGTGTATTTCGTGAACAATATCTGGTAATATATATGGCCACGAGGTGCTCCTTTTATAATTTTATGTGATATATTTAATTCCTTGGTTCAAAGACACAATCACAATTTCAACTTTAATACTGCGACATAAAGTTGTATCAATCACGGGTATTTTAGGTGACCTACCACACTTCGCGACAATATTTTATACTGTGTAAATAAATCCGCTTGAACTTTAAAATTTTACTTAAACACGAAGAAAGGACAAAAAAATGCAGTATAGTTCTAAATTTCAAGCCGATCTATTTCCAGATGTACCAACAAGCTCACCTCTTCACTCTTGTACCTAAGCATTTTAATTCAGGTAAAATATGTGTTACTGGTAAACAAAGGGATGTCGAGCCGTATGAACACGACGTTATGTGCGTTAATGTAGATTTACTTCTACTCTTGCGTCAAAATTAAATAACTGAATTTCATATTTTGGTACCTAAAAACAAAAGTAAATTGCACGGACGATCGAAGAAGCTCAAGAGTTTTACAGCGTAAATAGTGTATATGGCCAGAACAACGTGGAAAATATATTCTCAATTTAGCGGTTCAAACCGGTTCGAACCGGTTTGAACCGTTATTTTTGACTCCCCGGAACTGAACCGGAACCGAACCGAAAGCCGTGAACCCGAACCGGAACCGAACCGATAAAAATTTCGGTTCGACACTCTGAGCAAAACGGGCCTCTGCAGGAGAAGGTGCTCCTGCTCGGACGTGTACAGTGCTCTCGGCACAGTTCGGCGCTAATGCGCAAATATAGAAGGCTGCGACCTCAGCAATTTTGGAGGCCGTCGATAGCGTAGAAAATTACCGTTATCGTGGATGCAACGAAGAAAAAACAGCAAAAGATGCAAGACTACTTCATTGCATAATATTTCAGCAGAAAGTGTATTTTTCAGAGTCTAATTCATTAAACCTTTTGTATCGAATTATCCGCTATATTGGACTGGTAGAGGTTTTCTTGCGAGTTCAATATAAACGGGTTTGACTTACTCTGGCTTGGATTTCCGACCAGGTGGCGCAAGCTTCCGACCATTTCTACCATTTTGTGCTCCCGAACTCAATACACTTGAAATTAACAATAACAGTACTAATACCAAATAAGGGCAAATAAAAAACTCTAATTTAGACATATAGTATTTGTTGCTTGTACTATTCAAAGTTTTCAATTCAAAATTATACAGCCAAAATCACTATTCGCTTCGAATTCGATTCGGACCCAAAATCTTCTCTTCGCCCATGCCTAGATTCAAAGTTAGATTGCGTCACGATCATGAAGTAAATCTGCGTGCTATAAAGTTTGCGGCGTTCGTTCCTTTTCTTTTCTCTAACCTGTGCATTAGATTTTTGTAGAATGGTAGGACCAAGAGGGAGTTTCTCGCATGATCTATCTACCATCATTGCGCTAACATCGGGAGAGAAAACAACTCTTTTGTCAGCTCCGCACCGACCGCGCGTCTTTGGCCGAATATATAAAATATTCGAGAGACCAAATACTGAGAATTCGATTCGCAAATCAAATTCGGGAACTTGCCATTCGACTCAAATTCATATAATAGAGTATTCGCACACCCCTATATATGAGTGATCTCCCCAGGAGTACAAGACACTGTAGTAAAGTGGTTAGTTGGGCGAGTTGGTAATGATTGAACATGGTTAAAATTGCGCACAAACAGAAAAGAATAGAAAGAAAAGGAATTGCGCTTAATTCTTCCCTATTCTCTGTTCCTTTCTATTTTATGCAATTTTAACATTGTACAAGACACTGGTTCTGTCGTATCACAGTAGGCACCATCCTATTCTTTTGCTACGTTTTCTCGCAACTTTCAGCTCGTGACATCGCCGAATGTCGGCGATCAAACCGGCAGAGCGTCAATCGGCCAGCACGGTTGACGAGCAATTTCTATACTTCGTTTCACCTTAAATTAAAGCGCAGCCGACGCTACAATCTGGTGGGACCGATCAAGCGTCGTAAAAGCGCGACATCGTGGCATATGTTCATCTTTCTATACATAAGTTCTTTGATAGACTAAATCAATTAAGTGCGGCAAATGTCCCGTGAGTTGAGCTTTTAGTATGAGTGTTCTGCGTGAAGATGAAACTAAAAATGCGGTGAGTACACACCGCGAAATACGTATTTGTATCATTTTCCTTTTCTCCTATGTCTCCAAATATTAAAGTTGACCAATAACAAAATGTTTTCATTTTTCACTTCGCTTAAGCCCATCTCGGCGCGAGTGCGGCGCAATTCTTAGCCAAAATGGCGCTTTGCTGCAAGATGTACCGAACCTTCGTTCGTGGCGCTATTTGGCGCAAATGCTGTGGAACTTCCGTCGCTGCAGTAACTAAATTTCGCGACACTAAATAGCATACCAGGAAGCGTAGAGGTCGGGGATTCGGAAAACACAGTTAGAATTAGGGAAGCTCGAACAATCGCCAGAGGACCCCTTTAAGAACACAGAGAAAAGCTTTTCCGAACTCGAGACTATAAGACCAGGATCACCATATTCTCTACTTTTGAGAGGAGGAGCTCTGCTGGCAGACGCCATAGACCTTTCCGGGAAATGCCCCAGGGCCAAGATCAAGAACAAGATCAAAAGCATAATTTTTGACTGAATTGAACAAGACCGAAAACAAACATTTGATATTAAACCTGAACCAGAACCAAAACCAGAATCTCAAGTGACAGTCAGTGGCTCAATAGAAAACAATTAGGCAATAGCAGTGCTGATTGTTAAGGTGCGAGATGTGCCTGTTCTTGCTGGCGGCATTGGCGGTGCGGTATTAGTTAAAATAAGCGACAGACATAAAAACTAGTACACATTAATTGTAAACGAATAAACAAATCTTACGTCTATGTGTGATTCACACTACCAAGATCCTCTAAGTGCGACAGAAGTTTCAAAGTAGGGCTTGGCGTCAGCACGTCTGCCGGAGGCTTACGGCCCTGGCCAACTGTGCTCCAAGCGTTGACTAGAGAGCTTTTTGTCGTCAGTTAGTTTTGTTGAGGCTAAACCAGGGCTTCCCAAACACTGCTACTCTGCTACCCATAAAAATATAAAATATATAGTATTATGATACTCCCCCGGCTTGTCAAGATTCCAAAAGCTATTAGATTTCACTGCATGAACAATACCACAAAAATATTTACAACAATTTTTTTTTTTTTTAAGACTTATAGTAAAAGCAATTTAAAAAAAAAAAAAAAAAAAAAAACATTGCAAAAAAAAAAAAAAAAAAAAAAAAAGCTTATGTTAACAGAAATGGCTGTTTCTAAGGGCTGAAGTAAGCTTGTTTGTTAGAGCACAGATTCCCAAACCGAGGGCAGAGTTTGGACGTTGCAACTCGCAGTTCCAGCTCGATTCTGAGCTGTGAACTGTACTTGGTTTTCACAGATGCCACCACAGACCGGTGAGCTGCTTTGCAGCTCTCCGATGTGCTGATCCTTAGTACTTCTTCATTCACCGGCTGATGTCGGCTTCTCTACGGCATTAAAACAACTTGAGATATACAAAAGAAGTGTGGGTTGTCAATGGCTTCCAACGTGAAACAGCAGATGATCACAATTTTTGCCTGACTCCTATCTTACTTTCACTCGGTTCATAGTGGATGATCAAATCTTTTTCCTCTATATTAACAGACGACGTATAAAGATCTTTTTTAGTTTTATTACCGTCTGCAACAACGCTTTAGAGCAGACAAAACATATTCTTTGCCCAAGTTAGCAGACAAACCATCGTTGAATGCTCTCTTTGCACGCCCCGCAAGAGGCAAATTATATCTCGCCGTGACCAAAATCTTACCCCAACCGAGAGAAGCAAACACGGCGGGGCCCTCACCCTTGGATGCCTGACTGCCTGTGTTGAAGTTGAAGGTGATGCCGCCCGTACTGACGCCGCTGGCTGTGGACGAAGACAATGACGAAGACGTGGACAAAGACGGAAGCGAAGACGCCTCGCTCCGGATTTCCTTGAGGTGCCGCTCGTAGTCCCGGAACACGGGGGTGAAGTCACGATACGGATTCGAGTCCAGGTGCTTCTGGAGCCAGCGGACCAGGCACTCGTTCAGGGACTGCGCACAGAGAGCGGGCCCGCCGTTACCGCAACGACTTGGCGTCTCCAAATCTAACTACGGTAAAATCCTGTAAGAATGCTCGCCCAAGGTGAAGAAATAAACGGCGAAAAATATGGGACGGGCAATCTTTGGGGATGTAAATGGCAAAATATTGTGAAAGCATTTACGCGAGCTCAGATGTGCCGACAAAGACTGGGGAAACACGGAACCTGTCCCACACTCAGTGTGGGGTTTGCGCTAGTCTTATAATTGTGCCCCACAAACGTTAGTTGGGACGAGACCGAGTGAATAAGTGCGCCGATTGGCCGCTACCTTAAGTGGCTCTCGCGCGATGTCGATGAGGCGAGTGGTCGCACGACGCGACGTCACGCCACTCTCGCCAGCGCGTTTTTCCGAAAGCGCGACGCTTCCAGAGTAGCCACGCTATGCAGCTCAATGGTTGTGGTGTCGACTGCCGCTGCGCCGAGTCACAACCTTAACATTATGCGACGCTCCGAGTGTGTCACTCATCCGTGTTGCTTGTTCGTGAGGCTCGTTCCTGATGCTCATTCGTGACAACCTTCCCGTTGAAATCGACCGATAAACACATTCTGCATTAAAATCAGCGACAAACATTGGGGGCACACGCTATAAACCAGGCGAAACGCGAACAGACGCCGCCGATTGTAGATGCCGGGAGTTTGCATCCCACAGTGCAATAAACACCGTAGTATTTCCTACGAATTCCTGGGTCGCGAGAATCAATGGCACAGTACGCATACACGGGAGAGCCCGCTGCAACCTTGCTCGTCATGCATACTGCTACCATAGATGCACGGTTGAAGCCATTGCCGTCGGACATTGTGCGACATGAAACGGCAATCGGGGGCGGGTGACGATCAGAATTTTTATGCCGAGGGGTTTTCGGCCACAAAAATGGAATGGGCAATCCCTCGGGGGAGGGCGTTACAGTAGAGAGTCTGAGATAGAAAAAGTAACCAGGTTCTACGGCTCGCAAAAGCTAACCATCCCTAGGAGACAGCTAAAACTTTGTCTGAATGCGACTCTAGTGGCGGTGATAACACGCTAAAGTTTGCAACATGGGTAAAAAATTAACCCTTTTGCTATTGAGTTTTCTTCTTTTTTTTTTTTCTCTCAAAACGTGTTTAGTGGTTGCATATTTTTTCATTTTCAAAACAATAGTACAAGATTTAATGCGTAGGTCTATTTGAATTATTTAACGGGAGCATGCACAGTGCTTTCCATTTGTCCAGATTGAAAAGCGTTGAATGTAAATATTGATGGCAAAAATTTGTCACATTTTTCCCCTATCAGTTTCGTTCTGCCGACTTCCACAATATTCTGGTACTAGTCCTAGACTCAGAAAAGGAGGTACTTCACAAAGCTCCCCCACTGGATTATGCATGAGTAGGGTTCCGTGTTTTCGGATAAATCCGAAAAACACCCGCCGGTAAATGTTTGGTCATTTCAGATTTATTCATAAACTCTAAATTTTGATGTGCCCCTGCCCCCTTCCCCTCCTCCCCCCCCCTCCCTCCCTCTCCCTGTTGCATCCCCTTCCCTCTCCCTCTCGCCTCCCCTTCCCCTTCCCCCTTCCTTCCCCCCCCCCCCCCCCCCCCCCCCCCCCCCCAAGAAAGGGGAAAAATATGGTATTTTAAAATTAAGTTTGATCAGTGTGCAAGGTCAATGATCCTGAGAAAAAATGAAAGCCGGTGACAACTCCAGTGATGGAAGTGCCATTTGAACTTTTGGAGCAGGCCTTGTAGCAGGCAAAATGTTGTCTCGGAGCAGGTAGTGGCTCTTTTGGAGCAGGGTCCGGCATATTACTTGAAAATGAAATAATGCTGCATTGCTATATAAAGCCCATCTCTATTATTGGAACACAGCGCCTGTCGCCTTTTTAAGACAGGATATGTAAAATTGAACAAAGTAGACAGAAAAAAACATTTTTTTAAAAATAAAGTTTATCTGCTCGTCACATGAAAAAATACAATTAAATATGTCACACTGAGTTCTGATGATACAGTATAGTTTTATCAGACACCCGCGGAGCAGACACCGCAGTCGCGCAGTGCTTTGTGCTCCGAAAAGGACGGTGAGGCTTTACCAGCACTACGTCCAGAGTTTGGTGCAACTCAACTATACTTTGTTTCAGCTTCGGTGCGAGCGCAGCCGAAGCTACAAGCGCGCGCATGAAGCCCCTAACGGTGCCCACACTGCACGAGCCCACGCGCGAGTCAGGAATGCACAGAGCATTGGGCTCGCGCTAGCTTTGACTTCGCTGGTAGCTAACGCACGGGTACAGGGGGGGGGGGGGGGGCAACATTGAAAACACCCACAAGCTCGGCCTTTTTTTTTTTAAATTTAAATAGGCTGCTCAGTAAGATGGTTCTTCGCTTAGCCTCTGCGGCTTTGGTCTCAGATGTTGCTAACGTTGTTCCTTTCAATGATGATGATGATAATGCGCCCTCGTAATTTCGGTCTGCGTAACAGTTGCGGCGCAGAAAATACCGCGGTACCGCCACGCGCTCTTGATAAGACTTCAATTTTTATTTTTTATTGCTACATCTCATCTCGGCGCAAGCATGGCGCAATTCTTCAGTAAAATGACAATTTGGCGCTACATGTAGCAGGATTGCGTGCTTGGCGCAATTTGGCGCAATTGGCGCAGCACTTCCATCACTGCAACTCCCTGTAGCGCCGAATTGGAGCGCAGCTCTTGAGGGGGAGGAGGAGGGAAGGGCACTGATGGGACCATGGGGGGGTCACGTGACCTTACAGTTACACCGACGGCGACGCAGCTCAAGCCGGAAACGGGTGCCTAAGAGCTGCGCTCTAAAATTTTCGAGCATGAGCGCCTAATTTTGGTACTGCACCACACAGGGTCAATGGTTCTAGGAAAAAGGCCACCAGCTCTTATGACGCTTAAAGGGCAACTCTGCTCAATTCCGAAGATTTCGGGATAATGAGTTATTTCAAATTAAAAAGGCCTAGTAAAAGACAGTATGTCATTTGCTTCGCGAAAAATAGAATATCTATTTTAGAGCGCAGCTCTTAGGCGCCCGTTTCTGGCTTGAGCGGCGTCGCCATTGGTGTAACCGCGAGCCCCCCTCCCTCCCCCAAGGGCCTCGGGAGGATATCGGGTTCCTCCGGTGACCTCGGAGAGGGGGGTCTTGCGACTCCCCTCCCCGAAATCACCTGCCATGCCGCCCCCCCCCCCACCCCCCCAGTACCCTTCCCTCCTCCTCCTCAAGAGCTGCGCTCTAATTCGGCAATACAGGGAGTTGTAAACGGCTTTCACTTTTTTAGATCTACCGTAAAAACCCGCATATAATACGAGGTTTTTTTCAAATTTTGCCATGAAAAATTTGCGGTTCGTATTATACGTGGGTCCCAACAATTTTCAGCGTCTATGAGGCGCGATCTGACGCAGTTTGACGTGGTTTCGGTTTCGTAGCAATATGGCGTTCAAAACAGCTATCATCATCATTAAAATCACAATGTCCGAGAAGCCACCATGTGTCCACGGTCAGGCTAGGCAATGGCGTCGGCGCGAATCGCCGAAAACGATGCTCGGCCGCCTTCAAAAGAAAAGTAATTTTGGTTGCGGAAGACATCGGCAACAGTGCTGCCGGGCGACAATTCGCCGAAAATGAAGGCGGCATCCGCAGATGGAGACGACGAAATCAAGCTCTGTTCCCGTGCAACGGAACGAGAAGAAGCTTTGGAGGCCCAAAAAATGGCATGCTCGCCGACGTCGAGGCAAGTCTCGGCGACTTTGTAAAAGAGCAACGTGAACGGCACGTCGCCGTAGACATCAAGCTGCTGCAAGAGAGGGCCAGAGAACTTTGATGAGCCGACATTGGGTACACTGGGTTGTTCGCTTTATACGCCGCGCCGGGCTTTCACTGCGTTGGTGCACGCCCGTCGCTTGCTCTTTCAAGAAGTACGGAATTTCAAATGTGCTCCACGGCACTAAAGACGACTGCCTTAGGGAGGAGGCATCGGACAAGGAGTCTGATGGAAGTGATGACAGTGATTAAGGTTCAATTACGACGCAAATATACGTTTTTCTTAAGACTTCCTGGGTTGCATTTTACGCGGAATATTTTCGCGGTCCTTAAATTGTTTCATATTATACGCGGATAAAACTTTTTTTTTTCTTTGCGGTCCTCAAATCATGCCTCGTATTATACGCGGGTTCGTATTATATGCGGGTTTTTACGGTAATTTTTACCACAAGCGGAAATCTCAACCAAAACTTTGGCTCTGTCCGGCAACATTGGCCTCGAGCCACCAAGAAGAAGGCTATCACGTGGTACGGGACGTCACGTGATCCTTTACGCAACGCCGAGCAGGACTGGGGCGAAGGTGTGCCAGGAGCAAGTGTCGCCTGCACCACACTCCTATTCACATTTTGGTGTCCACAGCAATCGACGACGTCCGAAAAACTGCAGCGTAAGTCTGCGCACATAGTGTCCACAGTGTAAACGACACTCTGAGAGACAATAATCACAAACAGTGAGACGACGACGGCAGTTGTGACGGGGGGGACTGGATGGCTCCCAAGAAGCGCGCTGTGCAGGCCCATTAAGCCGAACACGTAGACCCCATTTCTCTTCCCAGAAACTAACTCCCACCGAGCAGCCTTATACCACCTTCAGCCGCAAGTTACTGGCGGTGTACTAACCACCGAATTCACAAACCTCACTTCAATTAAGGGGCCCCTCCACTTCCACTCCACTTCCTCGAGGAAGTGGAGGGGCCCCTCAATTGAAGTGAGGTTTGTGAATTCGGCGGTTAGCCTTGCTGCATTTCAGGCACTATGTCAAAGGTCGACAATTTTGGTGTTGACTGACCCTGAGCCCCTCACGCACGCTTTTCGTTCCCTGCGACCCGATGGTGACAGCCATTCTCAGCGAGAGCTGCGACAAACGTCATGCGTCTCGGAATTTGCACCAGACATTCGGCACATCCATGGTGCAGAGAATGTCGTG